AAATCCTTTAAACTATTCAAATACTTTGTAATTAAATACTTTTATGGAAGCAGTATTTGTATTTGTAACTCAAATACTTTCACAAATATTTAGTATTCGAATACTTCGCAAGGTATTTGAATACTTTGAGAAGTATTCAAATACTTCGCACAGTATTTGAATTCTTAACCTTCCTTTTTCACCAAAAATCGACTGCACCAAAATTTCTCGGGAAAACACTTTTTCTTATTAATTTTGGTGCGTAGAATCCAAAACAATTCGTACTTTTTCGATCAGACTTCTCAATCAAAAGTTATAGACTAGAAACCAATTTCGAAAAAAATTCAAAGGGCTGTAGCTTTTGAACTAGTAGCCCAATCTTGGAACTGTTTGAAATTATGGATTCTACAGGCCACATTCTATAAGAAATTTTTTTTTCCCGGGTCGATCTGAGACAATTTTTTTTTCGGGCCTCAAATTCCTTTTTTACCAAAAATCGACTACACCAAAATTTCTCGGAAAAACACTTTTTATTATACCTGAATCACAATTTCCGTTTTAAACACTCAAATGCGTGCGAAAAAAGGCCTTTAAAACACACGTGCTTTAAAGTTGCTCAGTAACAATACTTCAAGTATGACTTTTGAAACTGTCATCTGGATGAAATAAAAAATCTTCTTAGGTCGCTTTCTGTAAATGCAGAACATTTCTTTGACTTTTGTACCTATCCTTTGGTTGAAGCTTTCACAAACGCGCGTAATTTAAGGTATGCTTCCAAATCTGTTCCACTTTTTAATCGCAGCATTGCTTTGAAGTTTTGAATGAATGCACCAAAATATAGAAGATTTAAATACCTTTGACATTTCCTTCATATATGCCAGCATTATCGATTAATTTAAGACTGTATTCGTAAGTAACTTCCTATTCATCTATGGAAACAACTTTTCATATTCTTTATAATAGGCTTTACTGGAGTTGGATTTTACACCTACCAACGTTTGTTTAGATTTTACAACAACCGATTTAATGGACGGTGTATTATCTTTTTCAATGGAAATCGTTTAATTCACCAAGACGATGATTTTTATAAGCAAACGTCAAGTGACATTTCCATGGCAATCGTAAAACTACGAACACTCAGCCCACTTTTATTAGACATGTTTTCGAGTATAACGTCAATATGACTTCATTGTATTTCCTATTTTTAAATTATACTGCAGGTATAATAAAAAATACTATAAGATACAGGTGTATAATTGGTCTTTAAAGCACTTGCAACGTTAAAGGCACTCCGCTTTGCGTCGTGCCCTTAAACTCGTTGCGCGTGCTTTAATGACTTGATTATACACTTGTATCTTAATATACAATTTTCTTATTAATTTTGGTGCGTAGAATCCAAAACAATTCGTAATTTTTCGATCAGACTTCTCAATCAAAAGTTATAGACTAGAAACCAATTTCGAAGACAAATTCAAAGGGCTGTAACTTTTGAACTAGTAGCCCAATCTTCAAACTGATTGAAATTATGGATTCTACAGGCCACATTCTATAAGAAATTTTTTTTTCCGGTTCGATCTGAGACAATTTTTTTTCGGGCCTCAAAAAAAGGCAGTGTATGACCTTCCTTTTTTACCAAAAATCGACTACACCAAAATTTCTCGGAAAAACACTTTTTCTTATTAATTTTGGTGCGTAGAATCCAAAACAATTCGTACTTTTTCGATCAGACTTCTCATTCAAAAGTTATAGACTAGAAACCAATTTCGAAAAAAATTCAAAGGGCTGTAACTTTTGAATTAGTAGCCCAATCTTGGAACTGTTTGAAATTATGGATTCTACAGGCCACATTCTATAAGAAAATTTTTTTTCCGGGTCGATCTGAGACAATTTTTTTCGGGGCTCAAAAAAAGGCAGTGTATAACCTTCCTTTTTTACCAAAAATCGACTGCACCAAAATTTCTCGGGAAAACACTTTCTCTTATTAATTTTGGTGCGTAGAATCCAAAACAATTCGTACTTTTTCGATCAGACTTCTCAATCAAAAGTTATAGACTAGAAACCAATTTCGAAGAAAAATTCAAAGGGCTGTAACTTTTGAACTAGTAGCCCAATCTTGGAACTGTTTGAAATTATGGATTGTACAGGCCACATTCTATAAGAAATTTTTTTCCGGGTTGATCTGAGACAATCTTTTTTTTCGGGCCTCAAAAAAAGGCAGTGTATATTATTTATTAACATTGCGTTTGGCTCATTTATAGTTAAAAATAGTTCCTATCAATGCGAAGCGTATGTTTGCAGGGGATCATTCCGCCTCAAACCCTATTCACTAATATGTATTCTATTGCAGCTATGCCTTAAAGAAAATAAGAACCGTTTCGTATTTTATTAAAGATTACTGACTTTACTACACAAGTAAGAGAGTTGTGATTGTTGCACTAGATCCGTACAGGAAAAATACATTAAAATAGGAAAAAATGGAAGTACATTTACTAAAGTTAGAGCTTTTCCACAACGTAAAGGAAATGATTATCGTAATTGTACTTCCAACACAAAAGGCAATAACGAGAGTTGCTAACACAATCTCTCTCAGAAATTGTAGTGCAACTTAAGCCACTAAAACTTAAATAAACATCCCTTCTCGTACGTAATCGAAGGGATTGTAAAGCTACAACATAAAAAATTATTGATCCCTAAAGCTTAAGTGATTTTCGTAACAATGTACATATAAAAAAGAACGATCTCAAATTGTATCTCGCAGAGATTACTATTGAGAATAACGTCTCTGGAGGTTGTTAACGAGCGCTCCGGGTGTGGTTCCGGGGTTTTCAGTACGACTTCAACTAACGAGCAATCATGAGGCGTAACGACTCCGGATCAGACTTTTCCGCCACTCGTATAATTAGCCCAAAAAATATGCGCCAGCTTTGGTACAGAAAAAAACATTATTAGCTTTGTTTCGGTTTTTATTAGTCAATTATCTAACAAAGTTACATCGAATTTGCAGATATGTATAATTTGTCTCAGTTATGTTTATGATAGGTACGTATTTGTGGTATTATGTGTAATGTATACTCTTATTGTCATTTACTATTTCTCCCTTTCATTATATACACATGCTCAAAACCACACTTCGAAATGAAATGAAAAATGTGTGTGTGAAAAGCGTACGAGGATATTAATCTGTTTGTTTCACTTACAAAATTACTAAGTTTTTCAATTAAAAGTGACGATATACGATGATGAATGTTTACACAACCAAATGTAAAGTACGTCCAATTTCAAAACACATAACCTCCCTCGGGAAGTTTTAATCACACTCTGTTTTCAAATTGGACGTTGTTTCTTCATTTACAACTACGAACATAATTGGTGTTTGTTAGTTACAGTTGGGATATATGAAAGAGTTTTATTCTGCATTCAACAAGAAATTGTTATTTATTAGCTAGAGGGTAGTAAACCATCTCTTAGTTATTTGATTTTACAGGGTGATTCAAATTTGAGGGCCATGGGGATTTCGGGAACTGTTAGAGATAAGTAGGTAGTTTAAATTTGGCAAAGTTGCGTAATTTGATGCTTAACAAAATGTAGTTTTGAAACTTAAAAAATTGTGACTACTTCCGGAGATATCCGGAAAAAAGTTTGCAAAATCGTTTTTATTTTTTACTGAAGTTATTTAAAACGATATTTCGAAATAAATGATACATTATTGTGGCCACCTTTGTCCCTCTACAAAATGCTATTTAAATTTTAAGTTTGACGTTTCGTCTCCAGTCAACCATCATCAACTTTGTTTTTTCTTATGGAAGTAATTTTTACTTTTTGTGTCATTTGAAGGAGAATTTTTTTCTGATTTCAAAAATGTAAAAATCACTATCTTTTAGCCCCAGTTGCACCAACAAAATTAAGCGTTGCTTAAAGTTAAGTCGAACTTAAAATCTATGGCAACGTTTATTAAGACAATCGTAAGTTGCTATGGTGTTTAAGGTATGATTAACTTTAAGGGATACTTAATTTTGACGATGCAATTGGCCCTTAATCGTAAATAGCGCTATTAATTCGTAAAAACGCAAGAAACTACGTACGTACACTATCTAAGAAAATTGTTAAATGCAAATTGGAAAAGAAGTGAGAAAGTAAGTGAGTACATATTCTGGAAGGTGTCCAATAGCTTCTTGTCTTTCCGTGTAATTAATGAAGTCTCTAGAGCTATTCTCGTATCATTAAGAGAGGGCAATTTTGAATTGCATTTTTGATTTGATTTTGATAGTTGAAGCTGAGGATGGATTTAATATTTGTTTTCAATTAAAATCGTTCGTACTGCCGAAAGTCATAAGCATGGCTAGGAAGGGTAGAAACTGATATAATTTGCATCTGTTAATATAAATACGGCGCTCGCAACTCAAAAATATAAGAAAAAATTTTTGTCGGAACCCTGAGGAACTCCACAAAAATTGTACACTTTAATAACCTGATTGAAATCGAATCAGCTCACATTTTATTGCATCGATCTCCTTCATAATTTCAATCGCTTAGGCTACGATGCAAATTTCTACATTTTCACACACTTACTTAATGCAAAACACGTTTACTAATCAAAACGTTGCAATGTAGTATCAAATTTGTGTTTAGGAGCGATAAAAGCTACCTTCATCAGAACGTCAGGATTTTATTATCAGACCGTGTCCAGCCGTTAAGTTTCATTTCGGATATTAAACATATATGTAACTACACTTCATGAAATTTTTTACTTTAATAGAGCGAGCTATTTATGTATAATCATAAGAATGATAATTAACCAAGCGAATATAATTTTCACGCTTAAAACCTTAATGCTGTCGGTAATCTTTATTACGGGAGTTAATTTTCGACATTTCAGGAATTAAACGATAAACTGTTAATGTTTTAATCTCTACTGCGCTATTATGCTTTAATTAAATTGTTACATTTATCCAAAGAGTTTTGTTTGTATACTGTAATGGTTTTTGTACACTTCATGAACAGGATAATGTGTTGACAATACTCACTTTAAAATATGAAGTAAAGGTCTTATTTGGAGTAAAATAAGGTAGTTGATAAATAACAAGAGCTGATGGTCATATGAGGATAACCAACACTTACTTTTCTTTTGAAAACTGTTCAACTCTATCATGGAGAGTACAACAATGTAAGTAATTGAATTTAAAAACGAAATGTAATGCTTGATAGCTGGGGTTTATCTTAATTGATTCGTGCTACATGTAGATATATTGAGTACACGTAGACCGTTGTTACACTAACGCCGAGGAATGGTTTGAGGCTATTAATCACATTTTGGCAAAGTTTTAGTAGGGCATCAGATTAACCCTCTCCTTCAATTTCGTGCTATTTCCCTAACATGTCGCTGGGATCTATAATTGTAATTAATTTGGGGTAACATCCCTTGCATCCAATCGTCGGGCCTGGTACATCGAATGTACGGTCGAAATCTGAATAGCGCCATTAAAATTGGAGGAGCTCAATGATGGATGTTGTATTTCGATATACGGCTATAAATTGAAATTGAACAAAGTTTCCTTTTTGTCGAAGGTATAAGGTACGGAAGTGGCGTAATGAATGGGCGGTCGTCGAGTTTATCCTTATTTATGTACTCTGGGAGTTAAAAAGAAATTTAAGCGGCAACATATAAGTATCAAACATGGCATGTAGTTTGAAACGCAATTCCTGTTATCACCGCGGGATAAAGGACTATCTCGTTACTTAGGGGGCGCTACGGAATAAAGCCCGAGGTTAAATTCGTTCTTTAGATTGTGGTATTAAATGAAGAAGTAATAATGGCTTACTATTTGAAGGTGTACGATCTACGTTATTGGTATATTTATTTAAAATAAGTATAGATGATAATAAACTTCATATGGCAATTGTTCAATATGATATTTTGGTTACGTGTTGCTAATTTCCGTAGGTCCTGGACACCTTTTGCTATAACTAACTACTAAACTCGTGGCGAAGAAACTTAATTCACCGCACAGGAATTCTACGGCATATGTGAAATAAATGATTTAACACACAAGGATTGAAAGTCATTTATTCAGTAACAAATTTCACACTTGAAGCGATTAAATTCTCCGAGAATCTCTTTGAAAGCGAGCAAATCCTTAAATTTATACAGAACTCGACAGCTCGTGGGAGAAACCGTTTTCCTCCAAATTTAAGTGAATGATGTTTGAAATAAGAAATAACGTCGTTTCCAAACTAAATGGAGTAGGGTATGTCTTAACACGATGAATTACTATAAATGCGGCTTCAGAAGCCCGCCTCCTTTATATCCCCGATTTGTTTTAGTGTTTTCTCTAAGAGTGCCGAATGTCGATTTTTCCGTGAACAAAAAAATACGTGATGCAGAATAAAACTCTAAAACCGGATGTCGCTGGAAGATAACATGGAAACAATTTGGCACTACATTAATTATGTACAAATACGTAAAGTAGTAAAATAGAAAATTTCAAATGAATTACAATCCTTAAACGTCTAACATTATAAAAAATAGCAACTATAACATTTTCTCAGTCCAATTACAAGTAACAATTATAGAAAGACTTATCTTCATCTTCGGGAACGCCGAATGCGTCATACGAATTCACAATTATCGCTACTACAGCTTAGTGACGTTGATGAAACTTCTACCAATAACGAACATTCGCTACCTTCGTCGCAATCGTCCCTGGATCATAGCTCAATTATTTCTGGGCCCTTCCATGTAATTCCGTTTCTTAATAAGTTACAGTATCGCATTACGCCTCCCATCGCCACTACCTGTAATAAAAATATTTCTTTTGTACCAAATGTTATCTTTGTGGAAAAACTCTAATGGTATTTATAGCAAGAAAAATATTGATAGCTTAAAAAGAACGCGGTAAAAACTAGGCTTCTGCAAAAAATGCTTGATATACGATAGTGACTGACCATGCTCATTTATAAGTGAGGATTAGGTACGCTCATTCCTATTGTAATTTTATTTCTAGTTGCAGATAATCATTATCAAATGGTTAATCACTTAGCTACAGCAAACTGGCTTAAATTTTCCGCGCGACAATAATGTCAATTTGTATGAATCCGATTGGCGAACAATAAAGTCGTAAGGAATAAAAACTAAAATACGTTTTTTATGGAAACGAAAACACAACAGAAACGATTTTGTGGGAATTTCAATTTGATTACACCTTCATTTGCATTCGCATTAATTTCAGAAATTTCCATAATAACTTTGGTACAAAATTTGCATATTTGGGAAAGGAAAAGAAATTACAAGAATGATTTAATTACTTACGTTAATGATAGTTCTTGATATGAAAAACGCCACTTCTGCTTTGCATAGGGCGTCAAATTGCTGAAACAAATACAACGAGTTAACTTCCGGCAGCTCTTCACACTTTCAAAATGAAAATTCGCAATTCGAAAAGAGGTAGCTACAAAATTCAATTACACCCAACGCGGATATTTACATTAAACTTTGTTAACAGCCGCATTCAGTGTACGACTGTACGCGTTCACAGAATGAGAGATAATTCACAGACATACCTACCCTATTTACATGATCTCTTAAGACGTTCGAGTAAACCATCGCAACAGCTTCTAGAGCCATAAAGGTTATAAATCCGATTATCCAAGGTATCACAAACGATGTATTTTCCTGAAAACAAATACAACTGTTAGGATAGAAACAAACTGTATAAAGAAATTCGAACAAATGGGCAGTACGATTCAACGAAAGACATACTTATTACAATACCAACTTGTATCGGGCGTCTTGGGCGACAGCGAAGGGTATAAGGAGTTGGTTTCAGTTTGGAAGTAGATTGTTTGTTAATTTGGAGTTAATATAATTGCTTTACTTGAACCATATTGAAAATTACACGTATCAGTTTAGTACGAGCTTCGCCACGATAGAATATTCGTTATTCTTGACCCTATTTTCATCTACTGAACAGTTGGACCTTGGTCAATTTATTTTACAATACAGCATTAAACGTCTATTAATTATCTACAATAAATTAGAAAAACATTTAACAACTTTTGGAAAAACCCTCTAAAATATGGCAACACGCCTCAAACTCTCCATCTAAATATCGCACATAATAAAAATTGAAAAGGAAAGTGGTAGCATTGAACAGGAGACATATTTTGAAAGATCGATTTATACAGTTGTGTTTTCTACACCTGAGAATTAGGTGGCCAAAAAACAACTGCTGCACTAAAGCGTAGTTCTTTGGTTATGAGCTTTAGTATGTACGTCGACATTTTAAACCGAAGCGTAAGGATTGTGGAAAATGCAACGATGCATACTAACCCTGTGAAACGTTAAACTATCACCTTAGCATTGTTTCATTCGTAGGGCAGGAACGAAAGAAACAAATCAGCGACATGACTGTTTTCGTTAAAAAGAACCCATTTTGTAGGCGTTCATTAGTTTAGTTTTAAATTGATTTGTTTTCGGTCTAACAGTGTGATCACTCTTGCAGCTCAAAGTTTAATTATTTTTTCGAGATTAATTCGGGTCCGTTACAAGAGCAATTGGTGTAGAGTCCGAAAATAAATTCGTTATCAGATGGTTTGGGTACTGAGTCACGGTAGTGTTAACCGTGGGGTTCGCATCCGGAAATATTAAAACGAATTCGGTTATGGATTACTCACGCATCCTCTGTGTGGTTCGAATTAATAGTTTTTGCATTACGGTTCGAACAGCAGGGCAACAAAAAATCAAGTGGTGATTACGGGTATTTTTTTAAACAGAAATTTAAATCGCGAGTTTCGTGCGTAAACTAACACCCAGAAGTGAATTAATTACTTAAAATACTTGAGCAGTTGAGTAGGCGAATTCCGTCGCGTGAAATTATTACGGTATTCAGTCGAGGACAAATTAATTAAACGTGCCTGTGTATTTTATGCTACAAAGGGCTATTGTTTAGAGTTATTCCGGAACAATCTACAACGTCATTATGTATTTCATTTTTCCGGATCAATTGTCGTTGTAAGGAGAGCCGTTCCAAGCTTATTCTATATCAACACCGTCATCTGTAGAATGGCATTTTTTATGTGACGTACGGTCAGTTTTATTTATGTAAAAAATTAAGGGCTGTATATCTTTAAGAAAAATCGTCGTAGCTTATAATTGATCGAAGTTTCAAAAATTTTTAAGGATAATTTTGGCTTATATCTTCTTAAATCAATTTGGAGTCGCTTGTATTACAAGACTTTTGTCGGTTATGAACTCATATGATTTGGATTTGATATAAAACATTAGTTTTCATTTAAAAGGTGTTTTGATTTAAAGTTCAAAAAGGGCAATTTCCGAATGAATGGTTAATCTGGTTAATTATACTGCGTACATTGTATGAAAATTTGCCATATCCTGTTAATAGATTTTGCAAAAAAGCACACGTTTTCGTACACGAAATATACCAGAATTAATGAAACTTTGATGAATGATTGATGGAAGGTACCAGCTTTAACGAACACCCGGTACTTCGACGAACTCAAACGGGCGATTCCTTACGAGAAATTGCAGTCCCGGACAGATTTTTCGCTAGTAGTTGGAAATAGGCGGTCAAATATCTTTGTAGCATCGGAAAGCTCTCTTCGATCTGACGAGGAGGAAAAAATATTGTATAACTTCAGTTCCGTTAATTAATGATTGGCCGATTTTAGCTGATCAATGGTTATTTAAAACCAGGATAAAAATCGGCAAGGTCGCTCGCTCACACGTAGATAAACCGGATAAAGTTAACCTGTCTCTTGATCACAAAATTTGACACGCGATCGGTGTTAACTGAACTACCTAATTTCGGAATTTAAACTAGGCAAATTAAGTGAGTATAATTACCGGTATCTAATCAGACGTGTTGCAGCAAACGGCGTCTGATTGACATAGGTTTAGTGTCAAATGAAGAGCACTTATTTAGGATTAATTTTAACACTGGTCCCAGACTTTTGGGATAACAGGGGATCGAGTAATGAATTAAAGTTATAATTTTTGGGCGTTATCACCTCAGGTAATTCAGATATTTCTTTTCCGCATTTTGGGAATTCTGTATAAGGAACTGTGTCAACTTGAACGTTAAATTTTGCAATTATACCGTACCATTTCATTTCTATGTAAGCGCTTGATATTTTCATTCCGTTAATTATAAAGGGGATTTGCTTTCTTTAGTTTTGCTTTCAGTTAGATACTGCTTTGGAAAATCGCTACCATTTCCGTGTGCCGTAATTCTGTTTTAGATTATTAGCCAGTGATCGACCGCCTGTTCCCTGGAGTTTTCCGTTTTCTCCGTCTGATTACAAGTGGCAGACCGTCCTTGACCAGGAGCAAGGATCGACAATCTCCTGGGGGCGCTCGAGGTAAAGCGTCTCGTTTAATAAGAAGAACGTTCGATAACAATGACTATGGACTAACTATTTATATTCAATTATTTGGGGATCAAAATAATTCTAGTACATTACGGGAGCCAAATTAATACTTATGGACCAAATGTTTTGAAAATTGCTTATCTTATTTAGTTCGTGGTGAATCTTTAAGGCGAGTTGGAATGCGCCTGTTAGATTATCTTTTCGTTTCCTTACAAACACTTTTGTGTGGTCCGCACGTTTAAGAGTAGTTTCATTCATCACTGACGAATTTAATGTCACTTTAATTGCAAAATTTTTAAGTATTACTACCTTCTGGTGATTAACGGTATGTTGTGTAATTCCAGAATTATTTCTAATTATTTTATTGTGGAGGATATAATTGAATTTTGGTGAATACGTGAGTAACGGCCATTTGCATAAGCATCTGTTACCTTGCCCATTTTTTTTAGGATTTCTATGCGTTTTATATGGGGTTTGAACCAATTTACTTTTAAAACGTTGGCGACTTGGTGTGTTATTATTTTCTAAATAACCCCAACATTATTCGGAGATATGTAAAATTTTGTGTTTTTAATGAACAGTAGGGTCTCTAGTGTCTAGTGGCCATTTTTAGGACTAACTATGGTAATTCCTCGTTTGAGGTTTCCAGAAAGATCGTGGAATGGTTCTGGCCATTTAAAGAAACTGTGTGGCGCTTAACTATACGGTAAGTTAAGGAGAAGGACTCCCTTTTTGTAGACATCATTCCACAGCTAGCTGACCGCTTATACACAAGATTTTGAGGAAAAAAAGCAGTGACATCTTAACTCACATCACATAGTTAAAAAAATAAATAACAGATAAACCATTGTGTTGTTTGTAATCGTGTTCAATTACAATTTCAATTTCACTAGCAAATAATATTCCTTTGTGTTCACATTTAACTAAGTTTGCTTGATCTAAGCTTCATTATACGTTGGAAACAGTTTAAAGCAATTTATTTAGTAGTTAATTTCAAGTAAGTTATTTCAGCCTGCAACGTTCCCAACCGTAATTATATTTTTCACCTCTAAAAACCTTCATCCAGTATTTTTATAAGGATTATATGACTTTTAGTTTATATTATTCGTAGTTTTTTGTAGTGAACACACTAGCACTAGTAAAAACAGTACGTCTATGTACTTATATTATTAGATACATGATTTTGTTATTCATTCGGAAAAATTAGTCCAAATAATTAACGTTTTCACTACAGTTAACTACATTTCGTAATATGTCTTATACTACGCGATCTAGGATGAGTTGCTGTCGAGTCATCTTTGGAATTTTTGTTTAAATGTGAAATCGTACTCAACTTGAACCTCCAAAGTTGACTCGACCGCCACTCATGTTTGACCGCCCGTTATTTTAGTGAGAGAATTATATCCCATTAGAATAGCAGCCAGTTTGCATAACCTAATTACATCACTAAGAGAAATATCTTGTTTCATGTTAAGATATTAAGCGTAGTTTCAAAAGTATGTAAGAAAAAGAACTGCAGTATGGTTTTATAATCTTCTATTGCTGCAAGAGTCCTCACTTTAAGGACTATTAGGTATAAACTCTTCGTCTTCATACAATTTCATAACTGCTTCCCCTGCAGCGTTTATTAGTAACGGTTTTCATATTACGTGCCCTATGTAACTATACCTTTGTACTACACACCTACACCTCACTAATTACCAAGTCGCATATGTAAAGAAGTTTTAATTAAAAACAGCGACGCAAAAGTTAGAAGTGCCTACATTTCATTTTCGCTCATTAAAGCATAATAGCATTTTAGAATTTCTAACTTAAATTTATTCTTCTCGCCAATTTGTCGAATTATTTTTAGAAAGAGCTTTAAAAAAGATTCCGACTACCCACATCGCGATGTAAATTTTTTTGTCACACATGCTTGCATAATTTTGTCTTTGTAATACCCTATCTTTTCCTTTGGACATTAAAATTAGGGAGAATACAAAGGAGACTTATGTTAACTTAGTACGACATTTCGGTTTGGCTACGCGAAAACCAACAATTTGTCAGTCTCATTTTAAAGGGCGGCTAACTTTATATTAGAGAGACGTTTATTTTATGGTGGGTAGGTAAAGTTTGTTTTTTGAATACAATATGCTATAGGTACAGGCTTTAACATCAATAGGTTGTTATTGTTACTAAGTTGAATGCGTTTCTTATACCCAATTAAGGTCGTTATTACAACAAAAACTTTCCTACGCTACTAAAAATACAATAGAGGTATACTTCTAAGTCCCACTGTGTTATGAAATTTAACTGGAAATGTTACCAGTTTGGGGTTGAATCTTCCCTCCTCTGTTTTAATTGTTGCACTTTAGTTTAAATTGTACATTTTACTGACAACATTATGATAATTTTTTGATAATGTAGCGAACATTCTAGAAATATCGATAGACATCGAGGTGCCGTTAGAGATCTGTCATATAGATAAACGAATTGCGTTTCATTTCAGCTCTAATTACAACGGCGGAGTAACAAATGGTTCGCGCTGTTATAAATTGTGTACTCGTGAGTGATAAATAATATTTTACTGTTATAAATCCATTCATTTCAAGACTGTTATAAATTTCCTACAGGAGCAGGGACGATTTCTTTATTATCTCGTAACAAAAGACCTGTCTTGTGATAAGCCTGTTTACGAAGATTTTTGGAATGCGATCGGATGTGGCCTGCATAAGTTGGACTGGCGCATCATACCTAATATACTGGAGCTGGTATTCCAGGGTACCGTGGTGGAAATATTGGCCTCTTGCTTTAACCCCAGAGGAACGCCGCAACCTATTCGTAATTGCTTTTTCTTCAAGAATGGAAGAGGGGGGGTCGTCATGCAAGTTTTGAGAGAGGAGCAGTGCAGTGAACATTCCAGAAATCTAGATAGACCATGAAAAATTAGTCATTGGCGATAAATAACGAAGGCGTATGTGACGTAATCTTTTCGAGAAATATGACGTGTTTGTTCGAGAACGTTCAGGAATAGTCGTGTGTAATCGGAACCATTCGAGATTTTTCGAGGAAGAGGCGTTTGCTATATAAGCAAATCGAACTGCGTTTCAGACAGGTGAGTGGTGACTCTACAGCTACCGCGGATGTTAAACGAATCAGATCGGTTAATGATTAAAATGGCCGTTTTCATTAATAAAGCGCCATTTTGGGGCGTTTATTAATCAAGAAGTATAGGGCAACCTATACGTCAAGTACAAGGTCCAAAGTAGAGGTTTTCAAAAGAGATTCCGTTGTTGGCCGTCGTAGAGTTCAGGTCAGAAAAATGTTGGGTGTGAGTAACGGCAAAGTTACAAGAAAAAATGGCAAATGTTTATTTTTCGAGCATTGTCTTAAGCGTTAATCTCGTGCGAGTTTTTCATAAACAAGTTTACGGTTAAAGATGTTAAAACAATGGCAAGTGTAATGTAATAAATATATCCGGTCGCGGAAATTAATTAATTTGATTATGGAACCTGTGCGAAAAAGAATTATTTGTGCTACTAATGGAAATTAATTTTAAGTGAGTGTTTCACCCTGCAAATAAACAAAGATAGTTGTTGTCGGTCGATGACGAATTTAATTACACGTGTCGTTGAAAAAATGCACTGAAAAATTTATTCCTAACGACTAAGTGCAGATAAAGTTCTTGAACCCATTGGAGGCAGTCATTCCTCAGGTCCAATTTGCCGGTCTCCTTAGGTTAAGTTCTGAAGGCACAAATATGAAGGGCAATATCGAGTCTGTCTTGCATGAAAGTCCACCATCTCTAAGGGGTATTCTCGAGGAGATACTGTATATTTCTATTTGTTTTACTTACATGCTACTTAAGATTAAAAGTTTTTTCAAAGAAAATTGTGGTTCTTAAAGAAATTACCGAATCGCCTAATTGAATTTGCCTTAAATATATTGTGTAGATGTATCATCTATCTAGGATTTATTTACCTTTTTCTCACTTAAAGTTTGTTTTGCGTTAGTTAAAAAGAATATCCATATAAATGGATTCACTTTTTGTTAGTCATAACGAAAGCATTTATGGTGTAAAAGTTTTGTGGTAATGAATAATCGTAAAAGAACGTGGGTTTTAGGTTCATTTTATTGGGGTTGTAGGTAAATAAGGAAGAAGATAAAATAGGTATAAGTTCTCATGATGAGGATATGTCAATTCTGTATTATACATAGTAGTAGTGCCGGAAACCATTCCTTGCTCTTCAATAATTCGTTCCATTTTGCGGAAGACGTAACAAAACGCAAACTTTTGAAATCTACTTTATACAGTTACATTTTAGAATGCGACTTAACAATTGCTTTAAGAAAACAGAACTTGTTTGTTCAAGAATTTCGCCTTGATTGGAGCGGTCTGTGAATATTATCTTAGGATAAGAGAAAGTCTACTAAATAAACGAAATGTAAATTCGCACATTAATTACTTTACAAAAGGAGCGAAAATGAAGTTACTTATTTTATAATGGAGGCAAAATTCATTACTCACAGTCGTTTGTGATTCGGCCGCATTTGTTTTCCTTAGTTTAACCAACCTAAAGCTAAGGGAAATTACTTTCAATTGCCGAGCTTGAGAAATTGTTGCAAGGCAGTAGGTTGATGCAAGCGGTTTATTTTGTTGTCAGTCGCAGCGCACAAGCTGAAACCGGAAAAGTGACATCAAAGGATTGATTGTGTCAAAGGAAAGTAGTACAGGAAGAACGTCAAGATGGGTTGCCAGACAGATAACGATTACATTTCGCTTTCTTGTCTACGGGAACTGTCTTGATCGTTACAGAACGAAATTCTTGTAGGATGAATCTTGTAATTTAGACATTAGGTTTCGGTAAATTAACGATTCGGTCAGCGACTATAGCTAATCTGCATTAATTTATTTAAATTGATTTTCGCCCACAAACTTAATTGCAATTTATAGCTAACTGGGAGAGCCTCGCTAAAACCGAAATGTCATAATTAACAACCGTATTGGTAATCCTGCCATAGCTTAATTGAATTTTTCTTTGGAATAGTAAATTAGAGCGGTAGTTAGTGCTCTAACTTCCATTCCACCCTTATCTTCAATGCGCGGTGAATAAACTTTAGTAATACAATTTATTGCCTCCTAAAATTGAATTAGGTGTCGGTTGCGTAAATTTAACAAGTAGGTAGAGCTTCGATAAGGTACGTCAAACAATAACAGGTGCTTTGAGGTCTTAAATGTGTTCAGTTCCTCGAGCAAGGGCGAAATTAGCTAGGTACGAAGAGTTTCAAGTTCTGAAATACCGTAATCATCCGGATTATCCGTACTGCTTTGAAAACCGAAAGGAAACGTTTACATTTCAAATGTGACGAAGCACCGAGAATATAAATTCCTGGTCCTTTCTTTGTCAACATATTCTTTCGAGTGGAAAACTCTCCAGACTTTTATCAAAAAGTGTTATCGCCGGATAAATGGTCGCGCTGCAATTGTATGAAAAATAACGTTTCGCAATTCCGATAAATGGCGCGGAATCTGATTGATCCTTTAGAATTATGACAAATTGTAGCTCATTTGTTTCAAGTGGATCCCATAAATTTTGAGGTGTTATGCAAACAAATGGAATTTTGTAATACCGTTGAAAATCTCAAGTAGCACTTTGTTACAGTATTTTTCCGCTTTGCTTAACAAGATTTTCTTAAAGGCATTATGCTCCTGTACACAATCGCAGCTGACTTGTTTATTTTTAATTTTCGTTTCCGCTTTAGTAATCTCTCCCCAGAATATTTATTTCTGAAAATTTATCCTAATAAAATAAGTAATTCCTAGATAGCTAAACTATCAGACGACAAACGAATAAAAAAAAGGAAAATGCCTACTGTGGGTTCCAGGGATAACGAGAGGCGACGCGCCACTGGTGTGAGAAAAAGATCGAGAGGGAGGGTGTACAACACATGCATTGAAAAAGGTGAATTCCCAACGGTGTTCAAA